TTAAGTGTATTCCATAAAATATATTTAAAAATCGAGTGGACCCACACAGTCACAGCTAAAGAGTTGTGGTGGCATAAAGGCTGGAAGAATAATTAAGAAAAATATATAAGAGAAATATGGAAGATTTGTTTGCAAAGCATTATTTAGAAATGCAGAGAAAAATATAAAACTGAACACTAAATAAATATCTCTAAAATAAATATTGGAAAAAAATAAATTCAGATAATTAAAGATTAACAAATTAAAACAAATAAAATTCAATTAAATGAAAAAAAAAATTAATAAAAAATACATAGAAAAAATATAAAAAAAATAAAATAAATTAAAAATCTATACAATAAATAAATAAAATGAAATGAATAAAAAATATATAATACATAAAACAAAATGGAAAATTAAATAAATAAAATTAATAGAAAAAAATAAATAAAATTCTAATAAATAAAAAAATAAATAAAAATAATAAAATATATAGAAAACATGTATTAAAATATATACAATAAATGGATTAAATAATTAAAATAAAATATATAGAATAAATAAAACTACCCCTTAAATTATAAAAATAAAATTTAATTAAAACAAATGAATAAATTCAGAATATGCAAAGCAGTTGATATGATGCTAGAATATTACTTAATTCAAGCTAGCCGTAGCTGCAATTAATATTACGATTTCAATGATTCACATTCAAATGTATTTTAAGAATGCTAAGACGACTGTGATGAAAGTTGAATACATTAGTTTAGCTGAAATTTAAATATACTCAATGAATGTGATGGGAATTCAAGATGTTAATATCTATAAGATACCCAAATCAACTAATCACATATATATTTTAGATTCAAGTCAAATGTCTGCTATGCATCTCTTTGGCAACTTTACTCTTCATTCAGGTTATCAGCTGAATACATTAAACTTTAGTCAATGGTGACATTTGCAAGGTTATCGCGAATTCATGGCAAATAACTGGCTTAGAAAAGAAGTATTGTTTTGAACGAAAAGTGTTTAGGGGCTTCTTCGGTTATCGGCTATCAATGGAGTGCCCTTAGGGGTAAGCGCTTGCTGCTCGAGAATGCTGTTAATTCTGCTGCACTTCATATCAGGTGATTATGACTCAGTCACAAATGCCGCTGTGCTTCAGTTAACCACAGCTGCAGCGCCGAGTGAATCAAATTTTCCATTATAGCAAATTACGGTTGGGTAACGCTCGAATCTAATGTGAAATCGGCATTTTTTTCCGAGTTCCCATAGCAAAGTGCTCAACGACAATGACATTCGTATGGGTATTATTTTCGGAATGGTAGCTCATGAGAGCAGCTTGTTTGCCCAGCAATCGAAGTGCCCACTCCAAGTGGGCCGAAGCCCTTATCAGTGCCCATAAAAGGCCCCAGTTCGATGTCGGACTGAACAAATTCATTCAAAATGCGCTTGCTGACAGTCGCAGGAGTCCTCGCGGTGGTGCTGAGCCTGAGTAGCGCCAGCCAGTGGTGGGAGAACGGCAACTATTATCAGATATATCCACGCTCGTTTCGCGACTCCGACGGGGATGGCATTGGCGATCTGAATGGCGTGACGGAGAAGCTGCAGTACCTGAAGGACATTGGCATCACGGCGGCCTGGCTCTCGCCCATCTTCAAGTCGCCGATGGTGGACTTTGGCTACGACATTGCCGACTTCTATCAGATCCATCCCGAGTACGGCACCATGGAGGACTTTGAGCGCATGATTGCGCGCGCCAAGGAGATTGGCATCAAAATCATTCTGGACTTTGTGCCCAATCACTCGAGCGACAAGAACGAGTGGTTCATCAAGTCCGTGAACGGTGATCCGCAATATAAGGACTATTATATCTGGCACAATGGCAGGATCAATCAGCAGACCGGCGAGCGTGAGGCGCCCAGCAATTGGAACTCGGAGTTCAGGTACAGCGCCTGGGAATGGAACGAGGTCAGGCAGCAGTACTACCTCCATCAGTTTGCCATAGGCCAGCCCGATCTGAACTATCGCAATCCCGCCGTGGTCAACGAGATGAAGAATGTGATCAAGTTCTGGCTGGCCAAAGGCGTCTCTGGCTTCCGCATCGATGCGATTCCCTATCTATTCGAAGTCGAGCTCGATCGCTACAATGAGTATCCCGACGAGCCGCTCTCCAACGACAGCAACTGCCCAGATCCGGACGACCACTGCTACACGCAGCACATTTACACCCAAGACCTGCAGGAGACCTACGACATGGTCTACCAGTGGCGTGAGCTCGTCGACGAGTTCCATGCGGAGCATGGCGGCGATCAGCGCTTCCTCATGACAGAGGCCTATACCAGCTTCGAGAACATCATGAAGTACTACGGCGACGGCATTCGCAACGGCTCTCACGTGCCTTTCAACTTTGACTTCCTCACGAGCATCAACAACGCCTCCAAGGCGACGGAGTATGTGGAGCACATTGAAAAGTGGATGAATGCCATGCCCGCCGGAGCCTCGGCCAACTGGGTGTTGGGCAATCACGACAACAAGCGCGTGGCCTCACGCTTTGGCGTGCAGCGCATCGATTTGATAAACATTCTGCTCCAGACTCTGCCAGGCTTTGCGGTCACCTATAACGGGGAGGAGCTGGGCATGACTGATGTGTACATTAGCTGGGAGGACACCGTGGATCCCAATGCCTGCAACTCCGACCCGGACCACTACTACGACAGATCTCGAGATCCCGCCCGCACGCCCTACCAATGGGACGCCTCTCCAATGGCGGGTGAGTAAGAGTCTAATTCTTTAGCCTTTCATCTCTCTCAAATATTTTTCTTGTAGGCTTCACCTATGCTGATCACACCTGGCTGCCAGTTTCGGCTGATTACAAGACGAACAATGCGCTGCAGCAGCTGCGCGCTCCCCAATCCCATCTGCAGATCTTCAAGACTCTGGTGCGTCTGCGCCAGGAGCCGTCTTTCCGCACTGGCGAGCTCAAGATTAAGGCTCTGGATGATGATGTCATCATCTACTCGCGGTAATTGCCTGAGTTAACTCTCCAAGAGTTCACTTTATATTAAATAGTTTGGTATTCCCTATTACAGTCAAACGGAGGGCAGCGATCTGTATGTGATTGTGCTCAATCTGGGCAGCACTGCCAAGACCCTGGATCTCACCAAGCACTTCAGCTTGGGTGCCCAGGCAGAGGTCATAACCAGCTCCGTGCAGTCCCGTTACATAAACGGAGAGACCGTCAAGACCTCAGCGTTTGTGGCCGACGCCAATGTGGGCACCGTTCTGGTCGCCCTCAACTAAACGTTACCTTTGCTTATCTAATCATAAGCAACATTTAATTATAATAAAGTGTCCACAAAACTTATTCTATTACTAAAGGCTCAGCGGCTATTTCCGTTCCCGCAAGCGCAGATGCAGTCCGTTCTCAGATTTTAGGGTCAGCACAGCCGACAATATGGGATCGTACTTGTGGCCCTGTCGCTCCCGCTTCTCCTTCTCCTGCTTGGGCAGACCCAAGTAGGTGTTTAGCGTTCCGTCCCTGGACAGCAGCTCATCCACGGCGGGCAGCACTTCGAATGTGCGCACCAGCTTCGATATGACAGTCTTCAGCTCCAGCAGAGCGAACTTTTGGCCAATGCAGTTGCGTGGCCCGGCGCTAAACGGTACATACTCAAAGGGTCCCGGTTTCTGCTGCTCGAAGCGTTCTGGCTGGAAACGATGCGGGTCCTTGAACACCCGATCATCGTAGCCCAGAATGATGAGGGCCAGATTCAAGGTAGTGCCCTTGGGCATAATGGTGCCAACTGCAAGGGAATCGAAGGGATTTATATTCAATATTCGAGTTTCCTTCCTTTCCGTTCCGCTGCTTACGTATATCGTAATCTTTGTCTGTGTAACGGCCGATAAAGGGCACGCTGGGATAGACTCGCTGCGCCTCCTTGATGAAAAGATCCAAGTATTTCATCTCGGAGATTTCCTGGAATGTGGCATCGCGATGCAGCTCATTGCCCATGACGGCTTTCTGCTCCTCATAAAGCTTTCGCTGCGGAGACACCGAGAATCTCAGTCTACTTTTAGGCAGCTCAGATAAGTTCGCATTACCTGCTCGTCCGGAAAGCGGGAGAGTATATAGCCAGCAAAGGCAACGCCCGAGGTTGTCGTGTCGTGGCCCTCGAACATGAAGGTGGAGACCTCTTCGTAGATCTCCTGCTGATTCAGGGGACGGCCATCGATGGTGGCCGAGAGCAGCGTGTCCAGGAAGGCCATCTTCTTGCGGGAGAACTCGCTGCCCTCGCTCGTCTTGGCGGCGCCCGTGCGATGCGCCTTGATGCGCTTCTCGATGATGTCGTTGGTGAAATCTTGCAGAATTTTCAGGGTCCTCGCATGGGCGGCATAGTCCGGGGCCAGACGATAGAGCATGTGGCTACGCTTCAGTGGATTGAAGGCGCGCATATTGATGTTGTAGCACATGCTGGAAGAGGAAGAGATACATTGAGAGGGTCTGCTTTGGATTGCTTGGAGTAACCTACTCCTTGAAGGCCTTCACGACTTCCACAGTGTCGCGCTTTTCAATTGCATTTATCGGCACGCCCATGGCCGTATCGCAGATGACATCCAGGGTTAGGTAATGCGTTTCGTCCTGGAAATCGATGATGTTATCGCCAGCCGAAACTTCCTTCAGCCGCTTGATGAACTTGGCTGAGTTCTCGTTCATGACTTGATGGAAGTCCTGCAGGATATTGAAATGGAATGCGGGCGTTATCATCTTGCGATGCTTGTGCCATTTGCTGCCCTTGCTCGTGAGCAATCCCTCGCCCAGCCAGGGATGCAGCATATCGTATATATCGGATTTCTCTATCAACGTATTGCTGCTCATAATGACCTGAAAGAGGAAAATGGATAAGTCAATGAGGAGGGGTCTTAGTATTGCGTGGACTCACCTCCAGATGCTTGGGATTTGCAACCAAAATATTCGAATAGTAACCAATCCAAAAGCGAAAGTTATCCCTATCGTATTTATGCCAAAACTCGAAGATGGTGTTCAGTATTTCTAAGTGTTAATAAAGTAAATAAAACTTCAGTTCAATATGACTATGATTATCGTAATAAATTTTCTGTGCGGAAATAATTCAATTGTTAAGTGCCGGCAATTGTATGTAAGTGCACATTTTCCAATAAGTTATGACCTATCCGATGCACAATCGAGTTCCTCTCTTAATTCAAATTGCATATAATTATAGCTCAATATAACCCCTAACCTATAATCGCATATTATTACACACACAATACAACGAGACGCCGCCTAGACTATTGTCATTGGCGTGCGAGTTAATAACTTATCATTAAAAGACAACAAAAATAATGTTGTACCCGAGTAGAGAACAGCCATTAGAGCAATACGTATTTCTTATCTGAAATTTTAGACGTTGCACTACACGTATATCACTCAATCAGTTATTAGCTTATGACAAAGTCTATTTCTAATCAAGCAGTTCAATTTGTTTATTTATTTTATTATTTAGATTTTTGTTAGATTAAATATATATATGTACGTATATTTATATATTTTTTTTAAGTAATTAAAAAATAAACTAAACAAAAAACAACTATTGTTTCATTTTATTAAAAATAAAAAATGGAAATGCAAATGTATGAAAACTATTCATATATTTGTATTATTCAAGAGATGCTAATTCATTTTCTAGATTGACAAGCAATTTCTGAATCAAAGCTAACAGCTAATCCCCCTATGAGTCTCAGCTAGCTTATAAGCAGTTTTATAAAGATATATGTATACATATAACTCGATTTGGTATGCATTTAGGAATCAAAGTCAGCAGCTTATGCGCATTCGTCTCAGATAGAGAATAATTACCTTTATAAAAACCGACTGTATATATATATATACATATATGAATGTAATATATGCATTGCTTTACGACTTTTTTTGAGGTCGTGAAATTGCATTTATTGCATAATATAACAAATAATTTATTAAACAAAAATCTAAAATTTAAAATCATTAATTGTAAGCAAAATATCAATAAACAATAAAATAAATTCAACAAGTAGATATATAAATCTAAATTAGTATATTGAATTTATGTAACATCGGTCTGTCTGTCCGTCTATCTCTACGTCTGAATTAATGTGCAATATATAATATTCACTATAAATTATTGTATACATTATATGTCATTAGCATATATGGTATAAATATAAATATAATAATATGAATAAAATTTTAATATATACAATAAATTTAATCATAGCCCAAATGTATGAATACATATATACAATAAATATTAAAAATTATAATTTTTTATATATAAATAGAAATTATTATTATAATACAACAATTTAAATATATATATTTTTTCATCATTAATAATACTATTAATAATTGAAAATAAAATATTTCAACTCTTAAATTTTAGTATATTGCAAAAGCTACACAACAGTGCAAATAAAATTTTCCTATATACTGTTTATTTAAATCGTGAAAATTTAATTGAAATATTTTGATTTATATAATAAAACTTGTTCTCAATGAGTCACGGCAAGACGTGCTCAGAGCGATGCGTAGTCGGGTGCTAATTGAAGATTTATTTTTTAATTTATAGTCTAATAGGCACATAAACTTAATAATCAACAATAAAAATATTTTTATTTATTAATTTTTTATATTTATTGTATAGTATATTTTGTAATAAATATTATAAAAATAAAATAATTTTTAAAAATAAAAAAAAGAGGAAACTTAAAAACGAATTATGATTATCTTAATCGTAAAATGAAATTTTAGCTTGTGTTTTAATTATGCCAAATGTATGTCTAGTGCTCTAATCAAACATTTGTTATATTTATATTTGTTTTTATCTCTTCCCTAATTTTAAAAAATAAAATAAAAAATAAAGAAAACTTTAAAAACGAATTATGATTATCTTAATCGTAAAATGAAATGTTAGCTTGAGTTTTAATTATGCCAAATGTATGTCTAGTGCTCTAATCAAACATTTGCTATATTTATATTTGTTTTTATCTCTTCCCTAATCTCTTAACTCGCAATAGAAGCACAAAAAGTGTTCATTAGCAAAGTTATGAACGTGTCTGCATAGCGACAGCTGTCGCAGACGAGTGAGTGGGAAAATAATGTCTGGGATTTGTTGTTTTGCAGAACTGATATCGAATTTTCTGGCCGTTGGCAATTCGTAAATGCCTTGACCCGAATGGCATTACAACAGATGATTTGGCAGAATTGTGTCATCGGCCATAATGCAATTCGAGAGACGGCAATTAGCCAGTTAAATGAGTCATGGAAAGTTCTGCAACAACTTTTCAACTTTTCAACTAATAATATAAATGTTTCAGTTACCCGCCGGACTGTTGCCCATTTGATGGGCATTGCCAAGGAACGGCAACGTGGGCGGGCCATTCAGTTTGTTCAGTAGGCGCTTCTTTTTGGCCACGCGCAGCTCGAGCAGCACATACAATATTATTGGGAGTGCCACAAAGGCGTACACGATCAACCACATTCTCCGGCACGAAGAAAACAAAAAGAAAGTCGAACGATAACGAAATTCGATTATAGGCGCTCTGACACGGATCCGTTGCGCTCGCGTTAAGCAAAAGACTCGAAATACTACCAGATTGAGACTGCGCACAACTTAAATACGAAATAGTCTGTAGTTTCTCGGAGCAAACGACTTCAGCTTATCACAATGACTTGGCAGAAAAGCAAAAGAGAGAATGAGAGAGAGAATGAGAGAGAGAGAGAGAGAGAGAGAGAGAGAGAGTAAGCACTGTGCTCAATAAAAACTAGAGGAAAATAACGGATTAGAAATTAACATGATTATTAGCTAGACTACGTAATTTAATTATTACATTGATGATAAGAGCGGACTTGTGTGAAGAGCGATCGTGACTGCATTTCCTATGATTCACTTCTTAGTTATTCGATCCCCAATATCTCTGCCTTTCTTTGGAATAATTTTACATATTTAAAAATACTTGAACGACTCTTGGACAATTTTTAAGCGCAAGCTGAGTGTAAAATGTTTTCATTACTCAATGTTTACCAAAGCATTCCGTACTAAACTAGTTCTAGTGCTAAGTGTTTCATATGTGACAAAATCACTTGGACTTTAGTAGCCTAAACTTGATATTCAACAAGTGAGTGAGAAACGCTTTAAGCTTTCCATATTTTAAAACTTTTAGGGAAATGCTCAAATCTAAAATTGAAAAAATATCCGTCCATCTGTAACTCTATCCATCTGAATTAATGTGCAATTTATAATATTCACATTAAATTATTATATACATTATATATAATTATCATATATATATATATATATATATATATATATATATATATTATATTATATTATTTATCATATATATTTTATTTTATATATTTATCATATATGGTATATAAATATAAATAAAATAGTAATATCAATAAAATTTTAATATACAATAAATTTATTCATTCAAATTGTATTTTACAATCTAATGTATGTAAATTAAATAATAATACAACAACAAACAATTTCAGTGCCCTTTAAAAACAATTGTCAGCTCAGCTTAAAGTTCCCTTTAATAGCTTAAGCAGAGTCAGCTAATAATGAATTACATAATATTTATGTGTGTACTATATCTCTTGATAATTATCGACTTATCCTAGGTATTACGTAGATAATTGAGAACTTATATCATTTTATTGGTCGACTTTGAACACATTAAGCCCAGCTTGAATAGTTTAACCACAGTCAATGGAAATTAGTTTGATGTTGTATAATACTAGAATATAATATACATATACATATTTAATTTTCATACCTATACGTTTAAATTATAAATTCATTAATAATCGCTGACTGCCTCATAAGGTAGGTAGAAGCAAAAGTTGTTAGTGTGCAGAACCTACGATTAATAAAACTATAATATATAAATACTGTATTATATGTAAAATATTAATCCATTAAATCGTGTGAATGCAAAAAAAAAAATTCAAGTGGAATATATATTATATATGCATATGTTATTTCCGAACGTATGGCAGTGCATGATGAAAACAATCCTAAAACGCAGATCCAAATAATCAGATATGGGCAGTTTGAACAGTGAAAGAGAGGGAGAGAGAGAGTGAGAGAGAGAGAGAGAGAGAGAGAGAGAGAGAGAGAGAGCACTTCCCAGACTTGATTACATATTCCATATACATATATCGCAAGACTACAAACATTTACTATCAACTCTATGGCTTAGATTATCTTAAAGCACACTCGAGACTCGCGCTAGCATGCACAAGAGAGTTCCGTTCGGTTGCATTTTGTTTTGTTTACTTTTCAGTTATCAGCGGCTAAAACATAAACAAATGTGAGCACGACTAAAGAGCGGGATATTCGCTCTGCGCTTTGAGTCACAAAGAGCAAACAGAAGAGTTTGTTTATATTGTCTTGGCGGTTCAGTTTAATTTACGAATGACAGCTAAGAGTATGCTAAGGTTTTTTCTAAAAGTTACCAAGGGTTCGGATCTTTGCTAAATGTTTGCATTTATTCAAATAAATGAAATTGTATATGTATAGCTACTTTTATAGCTCAGTTAATTTACTAGTTAGATAAATTTACTCTGGACGAAGAACAGATCTGCATTTTACGACTAAAAACAAAAACAAATAGAAATTGATAAATGAAAGAGTATTTTAAATTAAATGTCAATTATATTATATTATATTAAAATTGATGAGAAATTATCTACAAAAATTTTATGTATAATTATATAAAAATTCTTTATTTTTTATATATATATCTATTTATAGTAATTGAATTATATTATTAATATTTAATGTACATTTGTTGTCTATTATAATTTACTTTTTTCAGAAACACAACTATAAACAAATTTTAATAACTTTTACAATATTAAAATTTTATTAATTAATAAGCTACAATCCTACAATTCACAAAATGAATTCTAGACAGCATTAAATATAATATAAATGATTCAATCATAGACTATTTTAATTAACGTAATTATAAATATAATATAGTAATTCTCAAAGTGTTTCAATATTATTATATACACATTTATATTTTATACTATTTATTTTTTTATTAATAAAATAGTCCTAATGTAAGATTAACTTGAGCATAGATACTTGCATCTAAGACCTTCGGCTTGGTTATTATATATATTATATTTCTTAGTTATCTACTAAAATCTACTGTTTACAAAATAAATACTACAAAGAATGTTTAAAATTTTTCATAACAATTGGCATGAACACGATTATATATAAATTCTACTATATTTCTCCACTTTTTTATATACACATACATATGCATGTTAGTTATCTATTTAAATTCTATGCCTGTATTTATTTTATGGCCTAAGTTGCAATTTCATAATCTTTTGTCTGCAATCGCAAACTAAACAAACTGATTGGCCTTATCGGTTCAGCAATTATAAAGCGACCCTTGGACTTACACGTCATAATTGGAATTGACGGGTGAGTCAATGGAGCCGTAAATTAGTTTATTAATATTGACAGCTATCTTACAAGCGGCAGCCACCGGCAGGTGCTATATATAATTGAACAGGTGATTGAAAACTGCTGTAATTGACTAGCGCTAATTGCTATGATTGTCTGTTGCCGCTTAGTGAGTGTTTACAGCGCGAGCAGAGCGTGTAAAGGGCGGCGGGTGGCCAGCACTGAGATAAGCTATCGATTATGTTATCGCAAATTAATTTCTTCTTTTTATACCCTGAACCCATTGAAAATGGGAAATCAGGGTATAATGGTTTTGTT